CGGACTGCATAAACCTTTGCTACGCTACTGCATTTACTAAGCGCCCAGACAGCAAGCTTACATTGGGCCAACGTAAGTTTTAACATTGGCAAGTTTATTCCGTTGGGCCAACATTTAGCCAATGTTTTTTTTCGGCGTTTTATTTCAATTCTGCAAATCGGTTTTTTGCAAATATCGTTTTATATTGGGCCAACATTTAACCAATGCTTTTTTTTCGGCGTAATATTGCAATTCTACAAACCGGTTTTTTGCAATTATCGTATACGATAACGTAGTACGCGTAGTACGCGTACTACGTTGGGCCAACAATTGGCAAATGTAGTTTTGGCTTAATATTTTGCTGTTACATTTATACCGTAGCCAATATTCTTACATTTATACCGTAGCCAATATTCGGCCAATGTAGTTGCGGATTAGTATATACTTTAAAACTTGTTGCGAAACATTTTTAAAAATGGCATCGTTTGACAGAATAAAAAAAAGTTTTGATATTATCTTTCCATTTTTTTTAAATTATAAAAATAAAAAAAAGAAGGTATATTTATTAATCTCCCAAGAATCTTAAAAGGTTCCTTATAAGAAATAAATTTCAAGAGATTCTCGTGACTCAATGTTTTGTTTTTTTAAATAATGAAATATTTGTTAACATTTAAACGTAATGCTTAAAACATTTTTTACTACAATCTAAATTATTAATGTAACAATAAAGGCAATAATCAAATTATTTTTGTGTAAGATCTTAAAGTTATTTTTTTTATTTTTATTGCTGTATTGGCATTTCAAATGTTTGATTTATTTAATAATCTTTATTAAATAAATGAAACATTTCAAATGTTCGATTTATTTAACAAAGAAGACATTTTAAATGTCTTCTTTATTATGTAAATCAAAAATTTGAAATGTCACACAGTATAAGTTTTTTTTTTTTCATAATTTGTTTATAATAGTTTAGATTGTATAGCTATTATAAAATATATTATTAAAGGTATCAATAATACATATGTGACATTGAAGTTATTAGAAGCATATATTTTACATTTTAAGTATGACTCTTTTGTTTGATTTTTTCTGTGTTTGATTGTGAAAGCCCATCTACTAATATATTAAAACTGTACAAAAAGTGATGTTACTAGAATTTATATTCTACTTATCAGAGCTTTCTAATTTTGCCAGACATTTTATTTTAAGACCAATGACTAATCTATAATAATTAATTAAAATTATGAGATTAAATCAATAAATAATCATTAAAAACGGTAAAGCTACAGTTATGCAGCCTAAAATAATTATATTTTTGTGCTTGTTGTGTCAGGGGTTTTTGCTACATCAACTATCTTAACTGTAACGGCGGCGTAACTGTAGGATTACCATTAAAAACAATTGAAATAAAAAAACTCAATTTAAATCATTATTTTTATTTGTCTGATTTAAGTCATGATTTAAATCGAAACAACCCTTTATATATTCCATCTTTCTGAGGCAGAGGGACATTATTCTTGGTTTTATTATTTTTTAATTTAATATCTCTGGATATTTTATATATTTAGTGTGCGTACAACAGTTAACAACTTTAATCTTATACATTAACTTTAGTTATAACTTAATTATTAATGATTTGATTTATAGATTTTTAAAGCAATACAAGATTAAACTTAGCAGAAGGCTAAACTTCTGCTCTGGAGAAAAAAAAGGAAGACAGCGAATATGACAAAGAGACAAAAAATTGTGTATATCTTGGTGTAGATGATTTATCCTCAATTTCTTATAATAAAACAAAAAATATTATTAAACTTTGGGATTTACCTGTAACTCGAAACTCTTTACAGAAGTTAAATGTTTGCTCTGAGAAGTTGAATGAACAAAATTTATTAAATGGTAAGTTTTTATATAAAAGTCTTTATGTCTGATGATTGAAAATCTTTATTCTTAGCTTTAACTTTTACAATTTTAAAGACTTTTTCATATATTACGGTCAAAAAGTCAGAGTGTTAATTAACATTTTATTGTGTAATAATCAATATGTCAAAGCTTACACCACAGGCTTGGTCAGGAAGCAGGAGCGATCGTTCTCGAATACTGACCACAGAAAATATATTAAGTTGTGAAAAACTGGCCAGGTTTTTTAGTTGTTTTGAGAACATTATGAATGATATATTATTAGATTATGAATGTAACAAAAATTTCTTGTTGGATTTCAAAGTTGGTGTCACCAACTTTGAAAACCATTTGAAATCAAATGTTGAAAAAAACAACAGTATTTGTATTATATCAGTATTCATGTCAGTTTATAGTTTTAACAGTTGATGGTGATTCATTATTATTCATTATATAAACGTTTATTTATTTAGTTATTAACAAATTCCTCACATTTCATCTTGAGTCAAATAAACTACTATCAGACAATCAATACGGTTTTCGATCCTTTTGCTCTACGGCCAACTTGCTAACTGCTGTAACTGAAAGATTTTATTGTGCATTAGATGGCGGTGAGGCTAGGGCTATTGCTCTTGACATATCTAAAGCTTTCGACAAAGTTTGGCATGCTGGTCTTCTCCATAAGCTTGCTTCATATGGTGTTTCTAGGAAAGTTTTTGAGATTATCAAATCATTTCTTTCTAACCTGTTTATTAAAGTCATCCTTGAAGGCCAACACTCTTCTTTATTTCCAGTAACTTCTGGGGTTCCCAAGGTTCCATCCTGGGCCCTGTTTTGTTTCTTATCTACATAAACAATCTTCCTGACAACCTTTCATCTAAAGTAGCTCTTTTTGCTGATGACTCAACTTTATACTCCTGTCTTGACAAAAAGTCTTCTCATTTCGATCGCCTTGAACAAGCAGCTGATCTTGAATCCGATCTCACTTCAGTAATAGATTGGGGTTCACAGTGGCTTGTGAATTTCAACTCTAAAAAAAACCCAGTTGCTTACTGCAAACAACTACCGTAATATGGTCAACATTCCTATATTAATGAATGGCAATCCTCTTACTGAGTCGTCCTCTTTACGTCTTCTTGTCGCTTACTACTGACCTTTCATGGAAACCATATATACAATCGATTGCTAAATTAGCTTCTGCTAAGGTTGCTTCTCTTTATCATGCTCGCCATTTTCTTACTTCTGATTCCATTCTCTACCTCTACAAATCTCTTATTCGTCCCTGCATGGAATACTGTTGTCATATTTGGGCTGGTTCTTCTAACAATTCACTTTCTCTTCTTGACAAGGTCCAAAAACGCATTGTAAATGTTGTTGGAGCTGGACTATCTGCTAAGCTTGAACCTCTTTCCCATCGTCGTAAAGTTGCATCTCTTTCTCTTTTCTACAAATACTATCATGGTCACTGCTCAAAGGAGTTATCATCTCTAGTTCCATCAACTAAAATTCATTCTCGTTTTACTTGTCATTCAGCTAAGTCTCATTCGCTTACTGTATCTGTCCCTGCATGCTCTAAAAACTTTTATTCATCTAGTTTTTTTCCCCGCACTTCAATCCTTTGGAACTCTCTCCCATCTTCATGTTTTCCTGACTCATACAACCTTCAACTTTTCAAGTCTTCTGTCAACCGTTTCCTTGCTCTATAACTCTGTTCTTTTTTTTCCTAGTAAATCCCAACTTGATAGTGGTTGCTTGCAGCCTTGTTGGGAGTGAATGCAAATTAAAAAAAAAAAAAAAATTAAATTTATCTAATAGACGAAGGTAATACAATATTTTTATAGATGATATTATTTTTAAAAATAATGTTATTAAAATTCAGAACTAAAATATGTAAAAAAAATTATTTACAAACATTGGACAAGGTCCGTACTGTACCTTGAAAATCTATCAAATTTGTTAACATTGGCTAAAGTCGTTCAAAACCTGGAAAAGTCAGGAAATTATTTTTTTCTTTAGATAGTCATGGAAAATTCAGTAATTCTAGTTAAGAAGTTACTGGTTTCACAAATGAACGCTATATTTTGAAAACGTGATGAGTCACACTTTTTTTTGTGAGAAATATTGTATTCAAAGTGAGGTTATTTGAATAGAATATTTTCAAAAAAAATTTTTTTTCAAATAACCTCACTTAAAATATAAGAATATTAAGATAAAATAAAGATTGTTTTAGATAAAATAAAGATTTTTTTAGATAAAATAAAGATTGTTTTAGATAAAATAAAGATTGTTTTAGATAAAATAAAGATTTTTTTAGATAAAATAAAGATTGTTTTAGATAAAATAAAGATTGTTTTAGATAAAATAAAGATTTTTTTTAGAGAAAAGAAACAATTTTTAGATAAAATAAAAATAAAATTTTTTACAGGAGAAATATTTTTCACTCCTTTGTAAAATTTTAATTTTGTGACTTGTCACATTTTCAAAATACAACGCTCAATTAAGCTATTATGTTTTTTTGGTGCTACCCATTTATTTTTTCTGAAACTTATGCTTTTCTTAGTGTTCATTCTTAGTCGTCATTGAAGTACAACTTGGTAAACTACAAAACACATCAAATTCAGTTATAAAAATTCGAGTAACAAAAGTATGCTAATCATTGCAGTGAAGAATTCAAGTACTTTGGAAGAAAAGAAAATACGTAAGTAAAAGGTAAATATTTTTTTATAATTTTTTTATGCATTTTGTGTGATATCTTAGTACAATTTATATACTTTAAATAAAATACTCTATGAAGATTTTTTGTAAATTACATTTTATATTAATTTAAGTCTAAACAAAAGTTACTTTAATTATTGCCAGGTTGTGTATTTTTGCAGATCAATTATTTGGCACAAATCGGAGTTAAAGACGAAGGAGATTGTATATATTATTTACAAAGAATAGTTTTTAAAAATGGCCTAGTTGTAAAATTAAACTATGCAAGGAGAGGACAAAAAATTGGAATAGAAAAAATGTTGATTGCATATGCTGCTATTGCAGGCTTGGTCGGGAAGCGGGAGCGATCGCTCTCGAATACTGACCACGGAAATTATATTTAGTTGCGTAAAACTGGCCAGGTTTTTCAGTCGTTTTGAGAACATTTAAGTTTATGTGCGAAACAAAGAATTTTTGTTTTACGGACATACATGGAAACATAATAAACTCAAATTATCTTCGTGCGAAAGAATAAAAAGAATATTCGGTGTTCCGGCCTGGCCTCACTAGCTTCAGCTAAAACTAAATTGTAAATAAGCCGCCATGATGGTTCACAAACAAACAACGAGTTACCGTATACTTATTGCGCTTTTGTATTGATATATTTGTTTATATAATTTTGAAAACATTTAAAACCATGGATTTTTGTTGTGTGTTTAATTGCACTAATCGTTCTGAAAATTGTACAAAGTCATTTTTTTGCATTCCAACCATACTTTTACACCACGACGAGGAAACTAAGCAACTCTCAACAGAAAGGAAAAATAAATGGTTTTGTGCAATAAAACGTGAAGACATGAATTTCGATGCAACTCACTATAGAGTTTGTTCTGATCATTTCATTACAGGTTTTTTTTTAGTTATTCTCTTCTTTTTTTTCTTTTTTTTGGAAAAATAACATTTTAAACTTATCAGTTTTTTATAAAATACAGCTAAATTGAGGTTTCCAACAAATTTATTTAGTTGCATTAACAATTCAAATATGGTAAACTCAGTTCTTTTTAAGGAATACAATATTTTTTACTTCTTATAGTATATATGATTAGGCATATATTTGTGTTTTATATATTACAGGGAAACCTGCTAAATTATTCGAGAAATCTCACCCAGATTGGATACCGAATCAATCCATGGGTTATGAAAAAAAACTGACAGACATTTCCAGACACAAACGTGCTATTGACCGTCAACTTGTGAGAGGTGTTACAGATATCATTCAGAAAAAAGAAGAGTTACAAGTTGTTGCAGCACCACCTTCCGTCGATTTAAAAGATTCAGTTTTATATTCCATAAATGTGATTTAAAATCAACATCATGCAATTTTGAATGATTCAAAATTACATGATATTGATTTTGAAGTGGTTGGTGATGTTCTTTGTAAAAATAATTTCAAAGATTCTTCATGTCAAACAAGCTTAACAAACAAACACATTATTTCCATGGATGAAGAATTATCTTCAAGTAAATCCAAAATTTGTAATTTGATGTCAGAGTTGTCTATTTTAAATGTTGGTACAATAGAATGGTTTGTATCAGACGAAAAATTCTTTTTTTATACAGGTCTTCCAAACATGGATGTTTTTTTTACTCTTTTTAAATTTATAAGATCTTTCCTTCTGTGTAAAAGATCAAAACTTTCAGATTTTCAACATCTTTCACTGACTTTGATGCGTCTTCGGCTTAATTTAACATTAAATGATTTAGCTTATCGTTATAATGTCAGTATCACAACAGCCTCTTCTGTGTTTCTCAAAACAATCGATGTTTTATATGTGAGACTTGAAGAACTTATAAAATAGCCTGATAGAGAGCAGTTATGTAAGACTACCCCAATGTGTTTCCGACAACATTTTGGAACAAGAGTGGGAGTTGTTATAGACTGCTTTGAGGTATTTATAGACAAACCGAAAAATGCACTAGCACGTGCACAAACATTCCTATAAACACCACAACACTGTCAAGTTTTTAATTGGTATTGTTCCTCAAGGTGTTGTAAGTTTTATTTCTAAATCATGGGGTGGTCGTGTTAGTGATAAATATCTAACTGAAAATTGTGGTTTTTTATCAAAGTTGTTACCTGGTGATGTTGTTCTGGCTGATAGAGGATTAAGTATTGAAGACAGCATTGCTTTTGTGCAGAGGTAAAATTACCATCATTTACCAAAGGAAAACGCCAACTCAGTTCTTGGGACGTTGAGCAGACTAGAAAAATAGCCTCAGTGCGAGTTCATGTAGAGAGAGTTATAGGTAATATTCGAAATAAATATAAAATTTTACAAAGTACAATTCCTCTGGACTACTTGATAAAACAGAATAATGGCCTTACTACAATGGACAAAATTGTTACAATATCATGTTCATTAATAAATTTGAATGATTCTGTGATACCATTTGATTAACCATATGGTTAGATGAAGAAATGCAGCAAAACAAGAGTTTTTTTTATGAGTAGAATATATATGGCTTTAAGTGTGTGTATATATAAATTATATATATATATATATATATATATATATATATATATATATATATATATATATTTATTTATTTATAAATTACATATATAAAATTATATAATATATATAATATAAATATAATATAAATATACATATATATATATATATATATATATATATATATATATATATATATATATATATATATATATATAAAGTAGTAAAAACACTTATCTAAGTTTCTCCTACAGTCTTTTTCGCCTTCAGCAGGTTCGTCAGGATACATCTTGATCAACCTGCTGATGGGAAAACCAACAGTAGAGGAAATTTAGATAAGTGTTTTTACTAATTTATTATTACTCTGTTCTTTAAGATTCTCTTTTTGCAGAATACACTAACATAACTCACTGTCACTTTCAGCTCCATCAGTAGGATCACCAGCAGAATTTTTTTTACTATTTTACTACTTTTTTCTTTAAAAAGATTGTTTATTCTTTTTGTTACATACCGTAACATACTGTTTTAAATTTGTTTACTCCTTTTTACTTTTTTGCTTATTGAGAAATTTAAGAACCTTGCAATTCGCGCAAAACCTTATTTCAGAAAACCTTCATACTTCGTAGGTGGTATCTAAGAAAATTTTCATACGTCTAAGGTTATACTTTAGAAAACCTTTATACGTCGAAGGTTGTACTTATGTATAAACCTTCAAATGTCGAAGATGGGACTTCAGTTTTAATAATTAAAGGTTTAATTAAGCACAACAAAATGCAAACTTTAGATATTAATTCGAAATGGAAGATATAATAAAGTATATAAAAGTAATTAAAGGTACATTTAAAAAATGGTTGGTTTGCACCAGCAATTTTTTATACTAAACTTAATATAATTGGCAGCTTTTATATTCTATGGAATAATGTTTTAAAGTTAAGCTGTTATAACCATTGTAATTTTACATCTCCTTCATTTTTGGGTTGGTAGAAACTTTACATGGTCATAACTTTCGAAATCTAAAAGATTATTAGATGAAATTTACTGTCTCGCTATGAACTTTTATTTAGTAAGAGATTTATTTTATAACTTAGTTCCCTCACATCTGCGGTAAGGGGTCAAGGTTTTGGAATATTTTTATTCCCAGACACTATTTACAGTAACTTTTTTGTAAAACATTTGACAAAATTATTAACATACTTATGTTAGGATTTCGTGCGATGCTTGAAAGTGTGAAATCTACATCACCAAAAAATCCAAATAGGTATAAGCCGGTATTGACAAATCCTTACTTCGTTGTGATTCATTTAACATATTTATTATGCTATACTATGTGTGCGTGTGTGTGTATATATATATATATATATATATATATATATATATATATATATATATATATATATATATATATATATATATATCATAGTATTTACAGTATTTACACAGCATTGAGAATCATTTCTGAACACGGGATGAATAGAGTTAGTCATACATTGGTCCACTGTGGTTAGACCTCGTTATATTTTAATAAATGTAAAAAACTTCGCAAAAAGTTAAAAATAATGAATGAAAAAAAAAAATCATTGGTTAGCGCGTAATGATGCGAGACCAGAGCAGATTCTTTCAAAGAAGCTGTAGCGCAGTGGTTAGTGCGCTTGCCTAGGAAGCTAAAGATCTGTGGTTCAACTCTAGTTTTGTAACATCGCCTGAAATGAGGCGTGAACTTCCTTTCAATTGCTCTTCCGCGGTGCTCTGTTATAAGACCGTACGGAATTCTTAGGGCATCTAAAATAAATAAAGAAAAGACCACCTATTAATGCAGGGCCCGCTACTGCTATCCTAATTTTGAAGGCTAACAGTTTGAGTAGCCCTATTATATAAAAACATTTAACTGGTATTTATATATTTAGCAACGCAAGTCTATTTTTTATTTCAAGTTTATATAACACTTTCTCTAGCTAAGGTTCGTCAGATGTTAAATAGCAATGCCCCTTGAACCATCTCCATATTTCAAGCCCTGTTTTACGATAGTTTTTTTGTGCGTGGAAGTCAAATATCCATAGTTTCATACTTGTATGGGGGTTAAACGGTATTTTATAGTTTTTTTTTTTTTTGATAATTCAATATCAAAATACAATCTTTTATAAACAGAAGCGAATGAAAATACATGTTTTTTAAAAATAATTACTTCTAAATCTCTAATAAGTAGTGAAGAGAGAGGGTGGGAGGAAAAAATGCCCTGGGTAGGAATTGAAAAAAAATTTTTAATTAACGAGTAGGGTTGCTAATAAAGATCTAATTAAGAGTCGAGTGGCTGTCTCCTTGCTAACTAGATATCTTTTCCCACATATATATAGAGGTTTGAGTAATAAACAAGGCGAGACTGCATTGTGCTTAAATAGCACTGTTATTGAGTAAATGCTGTGTCAAAATGTTATTTATAAAAACCACATTGCATAAAAAAACTTAAGAACGGATACGAAAAATAGTATTGGAACAGTTAACACAATAAAACCAGGAGGGGTGGGATTTATTGATATTTTAGATATAACACATAAGTTTTGCAAAAAATTGTAGGTGAGTCTAGGAACAGAAGTACTATAAAAGATATCCACTATCCTACCCCAATTATAAGAGAAATGAATTAAGATACTATTTTAATATACTATCTTACACTAAATTTGAATTTACACACAGTTTTTAATTTTCATTTATTAATCTTTTAGTGTTCTAAAGTTATGACCATGTAAAATTTACAACTCCCTCGATTTGGGGATGTTGGAAACCTTAAATAGTCAAAACCATTGAACACTAAAAAATTTTTTAGTTTAAATTGAACTTCATACTCTTTATAATATATAATAATATAAAACACAGCTAAGTACTAATTTTTAATTTATTCACGTAATATTTCAGACTAATTAGTTCATACCATCATCAGACATAAAATTAAAAAAATTATTTTTTTATTTATAAATTATTACGCTTGATGATCGTCTGAGTTAATCAGACTGAAACATCATATAAAAAAAATTTAAAATAAGTAAATAAAGTATTTTATTACAAGTATTTAAATCAATGCTCACATTTAGATACTAAATATTTTTTTTATGACAATCAGGACACAGCCAATTCTTTTTTGGTTTATTATTCAATTTTAGGCATACCAAGTGAAAAAGTTTAATTTTGCAACTCTTTTCTGCACAAGGAAATAACTCACCATTTTCATTGCCATTACAATAACAATATAAATTGTGATCATCAATAAAGTCAAAATCCATATTTTTGGTATCTCTTGTAAAAAATTTACCAACTAATTCTGGCAAGATAGAACTGCAAAATACTTGCTGACACTTAGTAACGCAGGCTGTCCATATAGAATTATCTGGATAAACTCTTTCTAAGTGATAATCTTTAGATGTATTTACAAAAAAATCACAAAACTTTTTTTTACATGTATGCAACTGAGTTTGAATTTGAAAGTAATATGTGTGTGGTTGTTTGAGCTTTTTTTCAGTGTTCATTATTTGTATACAAAATGTCTTATCTTTACCAATAGCTTCTAATATAAAATTGTCTTTATGGTTAGCAGGATTTTTAATTTCAACACATCCTTCACCACAGAATTCACAAGATATTAAAGCATCTGGAGAAGCACCTATGAAAAGATACTCTGTCGATATAAAAAAACCACACTTTATAATTTTGAAATTAACATGATGATGTTTTACAATATCAAAATATTTTGCTAAAGCAATCTTTTCATTGTCTACTCCCCATTTAGTTTGACATGAACTAACTTTGTAACTTTCAGGGTAACAAATTTTTTAAATTAATGATAAGGCAGGCATGGCTTCAAGCGTGTGTAATACACTATATATGTTTGATGCTGTAATTCTCCCTGCTCGAAAATAAAACCATTTTTTTGAAAAAACTTGCTCTCTTGTAGCTTTCTCAACATTAAACTGCTCAACCTCCGATACAGACAAACTTAAAGTTTCACATTGTTTACATATGTTTACAGAGATAAAGCTGAAGAATCATAAAGTTCCCGCAACATTTTTGGAAATTGCAATTTTAACGATGAGGGTTGGTAATCTACACTGTAAGGGGATATAATCGACAAAATAGCTGGCTTTGACTTGCAGAGGCTCAGATCATTGAAAAATGCATCAAGTTCATTCTGAGTTGGAGGAGTGCAATTATAACTACTTGCTAATGCATCGCTTTTTTTATCATTTAGAAATCCACTACAGGTAGATTCGTTTAATATTTCTTCATCAAATTTTCGTTTTAAAGTATTTGGGGAGGTAAAATCTATATCAATGCATTCTGCATATGAAATATCTTTGATTGAAGATGGAAGCATCCAATATGCTTTTTTTTCTGTAACTGTCTTAGAATCACGAATTCTGACAGCAGCATCAATATAAAATAAAACTGCTCCAATGTGAGAACATGCCTCTCCAAGACCAGCCATGCAGTTACAATGAGCATATATTACTTTACCATCCATTTCAGAAATAATCCATGTTGAAGCTGCCGTTTCTTTATGCTTTTGAGAATGATAAACCTGCAATATGATAAAATAAAACTATGTTTAATTTAACGTTAAACTTTTTTTTAATAAAATACAAATATAAAAATTTGTTACCTTTCCAATAACCAAACATTTTTCATCAAATAACTTTAAACCGATTTCCTTGATCCAACCAGAGAGGAAAAAATTATATGACTCCAAACTTTTATAGCACTTTAGTTCATTAGCGGATATAGGAGATGGAGCAAACATTAAATAACTTACAATATCAAGGTAACCTATTTTAGGATAAAAATCTACTGAAAAAACCAAGTCAGATTGCACTAAACTGTAAGGATCTAAATTATTTATTTGAGAAATTTTATGAAGATATCTTTGCTTGCTTTCAACAGAAAGACAAGTAAAATATTTGCTTTTGGCTAAAGACATGCTTTGTTTATTTG